ACTCATTGCTCGTTATAGAACTCCTCCAGAACAGAGCCTGTACTATTGAAGAGAGTGTAAAGAGAGTGTAAGTAGAGTAGCATGTTTCTTTACTGTTATTATAGAATGTTTCACTAGAAATGTGAATTGGGGAGTTTCATGTATCTATTGTGTATGTTATTTTTACTCCTTTATTTAGTGCATTATATATATGTGATAACATCCTGAAGAAGATAATTTTTCGAAACAAGGAGAACATACCGGGAGACCTTGTAGAAATTGTGTTACCTAAGGAAGACTCTGCTGCATAAGAAGTACTCCTTAAAAGACTGTGTTGCTAAAAGAAGAATTCTTTTGAGGATAAAGACAGAGACTGTTGAATTCCTGCACTGAAATCTACTCCAGGAAAGGATGGACTTTATTGTCTCTAGTCTACTATTCATTACTTTATGTTGATAAGATAACCTACATTTACTTATAATGTGCTGATAACATTACTGTTAAATGCTATATATGCTATAAAGTCTAGACAATTTACTCCACACAACCAGTGGCCCTCCAGCTGTTTTGGCCTCCAACTCCCAGCAGTTCTAGCCAGTTTGTCCAATGGCCAGGAATTCTGGGAGTTGGGGGCCAAAACCGCTGGAGAGCCACAGATTGTGCAAGCCTAGCTTAGAGATTTAATTTTGAGAACCCATTTGAGACCTTGCATCTTTTCTACACCATAGGCAGAAGCCGAGATGGGTTGACTGATCTATAGAATAGGATTTCATTTGACCCACACTTAAATATGGGAAATGGCCATTTATCATGACCTGTTTCATCATCCCAACCTTATCTGTAAAGAACTGCTGCATATGGTTTTATGAAAGGTTAGAGGTGATGTCCTTCTTTTATAGTCTTCTTCTTATAGCTTTGTTGGATTAGTGTGCCAAATTTTAAATGCTTGACTGCAGCTGCAACACCTCTTGAGTGTCCTCCGCTGGATGGCATTAATGCCATAATTTAAGGGATATGCAGTAGGATCCCAGTTAACCAGAACTCAAGCAACCAGCAAAAATAAAATTACAGAAATAATACTTTAAATGTAAAAAAGCTAATTTTATAATAAAGCTGTTTTCCATTAAGTCAAGTTTGTCTTTATTTGCTTTTAATTATTGTGTTTTGATATTTATATCAAATCAATACAAAATTCATAGTATGGTATACTATGGAGTATAGTATTAGTTAGGTCTACAGTATTTTAATACTCTTAAGCAACCAGAAACTACATTGTCTGGCACATAACTGGATGCTTAGGTGACTGAGAGTCTAATGCAGGGGTCCTCAAACTAAGGCCCGGGGGCCGAATATGGCCCTCCAAGGTCATTTACCTGGCTCTCGCTCAAGGTCAGCCTAAGTCTGAAATGACACAAAACAACAATAATCCTATCTAATCAGCCAAAAGCAGGCCCACACTTCCCATTGAAATACTATTAAGTTTATATTTGCTAAAATTGTTCTTCATGTTAATTATTGTTTTTAAGTGTTTTTTGCACTACAAATAAGATATGTGCAGTGTGCATAGGAATTCATTTATGTTTATTTTGGCCCTCCAACAGTTTGAGGGACTGTGACTTGGCCCTCTGTTTAAAAAGTTTGAGGACCCTGCTCTAATGTATTAAAAGCATTTAAGTCTTTCAGCAAATTGCAGATTCCAGGCTTCTGTGGGATGAACCATGGCAAAGTGGTAAAATTGTACACTTATAATTGTACATCACAGATAGTGATGTACATGCTTCTTATCTCTAGCACATGTAAACATTATTGACATGAGAACACATTTTTGTGTGCCCCTGATGCAAGCAATATCCCAGTGTGGATATATGAATCCACCAGCCTAAGAAGCGATTCTATGGCTACATCTTCTAGACATTTCATATGGCCCTTGTAGTTTTCACATCAAAAAGTAAAGGCATCTCAAAGTTGGTGGATTACATCATTTAATACATTTAATGTCCCTCCAATTATTTTAAATACTCAGAGAAAGTAAAAGAATTACATGTAAAAAGGAAGCAAAAACAAAACTAGCAACCCTCAGTTACAGAGCATAAAATCCACAAACGTAGGACAAAAAATGACATAGAACTACTGCCAATAAGCCAGTATCATTCTTCTCTTCTCTCCAAATATTATTCCACTCTACACAATGGTTGAGGGTGTTCTGATGACCGTTAAATACTGCTGAAAATATTTAGGAGTTTTAAACAAATATATTCAAGTGATCAAAGAACTTTAGAGAGCCTATATGAAAAAATTAAAAAAGGAAGACAGTCCTGTGAAATGACTTCTGGCAAACTTATATTAAAACAGGCTATTTTATTACATTACATTCTGTAATAGGCTAACACTCATTCACATAATTTTATATCATAAATGTAGGTACTGCGGGTTTCACTTGGACAGCTAAAGGTGATAATGGTGATAAAGGTAACGATCTCTACAGAGAACCACTGCTTTTAACATGACCTGGAAATCTAATTTTACAAACCTGGTAATTGGGGATATTAAGAAAGGTTAACCATGATAAAAAATTAACATCCCCATCTTCCTTTTGGCCTCGCCTAGTGTTCATTTGATTGTTATTTGCACTGAGGTCTAAATCTATTACTATGCCTAGTCTGTGGCACTAATGTTATAGTACATAGTTAAGATCCCAGATTGTTTTTGGCTGTTTCTTTTAGATAAACTGCTTCAAAAAGAGTGGGATAATATGTGGAAGAGTGCCATTCTTTCTTTGCCTCCCATTGCCTTGATCCAGATCTACAACGACCAAGTAAAGACAAGCATGCATTTTAATCCTACAAGAACAAAGAGCAAAACAAAACAGTGTGAGATACAGAGCAGCAAGATGGCAACATCCTGGAAATGTATGCAGAACAAGGGGAAGACATTAGGGGCAATTGGGGGCTTTTACAGGGGTCTAGGGCTTCAGGACCCTCATAAACATGGAAAAACTGCAAATAAAAATACAATATTCTTTTTACTTGAGAGAACACTTATCTAGGAATCACTAGGTCCTTCCACCAGACATTGGATATAGATTCACATTGGAGGACCTACAAATGTCTACAGAAGTGACTATTGACCTTTGGGGCCCCTTCTACACTGCCATATAATTCAGATTATCAAAGCACATAATCCACATTATCTGTTTTGAATTGGATTATATTAGTCAACACTGCCAGATAATCCAGTTCAAAGCAGATAATCTGGGTTTTATATGGCAATGTAAAAGGGGTCTGGGTTGACCACAGTGTTATGTCAGAGGACCTTGCGCAGGCATGGGTAAACTTTGGCCCTCCATGTGTTTTGGATTTCAACTTCATCAATCCCTAACAGTCTACTGGCTGTTAGGGATTGTGGGAGTTGAAGTCCAAAACATCCGCAGGGCCAAAGTTTGCCCATGCCTGACTTAGAGATTTCGAGAAAGAACACACTAATAAAATAGGCCAATAATCATTGGTTCAATACCATCGTTGGTGGAGTTCAGAATACTCTGATTGTAGGTGAACTATAAATCCCAGCAACTACTACACCCAAATGACAAAATCAATTTTTTTGAGTGATGGTCACTCCTTGGGTTAGTAGGTGTCTTGTGTCCAAATTTGGTGGCAATTCGTCCAGTGGTTTTTGAGTTATGTTAATCCCACAAACGAGCATTACATTTTTATTTATATAGATACCATTATACTGTGATATTAGTAACATTACATGTTACTGGACACAGTGGACACAGTGATCCACGCTCTTGTTACATCCCGAATAGATTACTGCAACACACTCTACGTGGGGTTGCCTTTGAAGACTGTTCGGAAACTTCAAGTAGTCCAGCGGGTGGCAGCCAGATTGCTCACCGGAGCGTCATACAGGGAGCATACCACCCCTCTGTTATGTCGGCTCCACTGGCTGCTGATCCAGTTCCGAGCACAATTCAAAGTGCTGGTTTTGACCTACAAAACCCTATACGGTGCAGGCCCAGCATATCTGTCCGAACGCATCTCCCTCTAAGCCTCGCCTCAGAGTTTAAGATCTTCTGGGGAGGCCCTGCTCTTGGCCCTGCCTCTATCACAAGTGAGGTTGGCGGGGACGAGGAGCAGGGCCTTCTCGGTGGTGGCCCCTCACCTGTGGAATTCACTCCCCGGGTTAATTAGATCGACATCCCTCCTTTCTTTTAGAAGGAAATTAAAAACATGGATTTGGGACCAGGCGTTTGGGTAATCTGGCAGATAAATAAAGGACAATGACGACTGATTGGAATGGACAATGTGGTGAACGTTGAGCATGAGATGGGTTTTATTGACTGTGATATATAATTGATTGTTTTTAACTGTTATAACTGTTTTAATTGCTTTTTATATATGTTTATCTGTATTATTGTGTAGGCATCGAATTGTGCCTTTTGTAAGCCGCCCTGAGTCCCCCCTCGGGGTTGAGAAGGGCGGGGTAGAAATACGCGAAATAAATACATAAATAAATGTAATATAAAATATATAATTATAACATCGTATTTTATTAGTAGTATTATAATTATTATAAAATAATAAAATTATTATAAAATTATAAAATAAAATTATTTTATAATTCTTATAAAATTATTCTATTATTATTATTAGTAGTAGTAGTGTAGGCTCGGATATTCCAGTTCAAAGAAGATATTGTGGGTTACTCTGCTTTGATATTCTGGGTTGTGTGAAAGAGCCCTTAGAAGCTTTCATTGGAGGTGCAATGGAAGCGTTGGGGAGTCTAAAAGGGGCCTTGCTGACAGATGATGCCTCTGGCTAGCTTTCCTGGGCTGAAAACTGGAATACAAAGAGTGAGGATTAAAGGCCTGTTCTAGAAGACTACAAGCGGAGAATGCTGGGAGTTGTAGTCTAAAGCCAGCCCCGACGAAATCCAAACACGTTCTCCCCGCTCCCCCCGCTTTCCAGGGAGGAAGAGAGGCCGGCGAGGCTTCCGCCGCTCCTCCGCCCTCGAGGCAGGCCCAGGACGGTGGTTCCCGCCCACAGCGCAGAAAGAGAGAGAGAGCGAGGCCTCGGTGCCAGGGTCTGCTCCATGGAGAAGAGGCTGGCCGAGTTCCGAGCGGCCCGGCAGGCCTCCGCCGCCCCTCCGCCGCCTCCTCCTCCTCCTCCTCCCGCGAAGCCCACGAGAGCAGACGCAACGGCGGGCAAAGAGCAGGCCCCGCCGCCTCCTGAGGTGGGTTGGCTGCGGCGCTGCGGGTAGGCCCGTTGCCAAGGAGACCAACGCGGAAGAGCCAGGCGGGACTGTCAGCAGGCCTTTCACCAGGCCTGTAGCCTTCATTCTACAGCAGGCCTGGGCAAACTTGGTCCAGTGGTTCTCAACCTGTGGGTCCCCAGGTGTTTTGGCCTACAACTCCCAGAAATCCCAGCCAATTTACCAGCTGTTAGGATTTCTGGGAGTTGAAGGCCAAAACATCTGGGGACCCACAGGTTGAGAACCACTGCTCCAGGTGTGTTGGACTCCAACTCCCACCATTCCTGACAGCCTCAGGACCCTTCCTTTTCCCCCTCAGCCGCTTAAGCGGCTGAGGGGGAAAAGGAAGGGTCCTGAGGCTGTCAGGAATGGTGGGAGTTGGAGTCCAACACACCTGGAGGGAGGGCCCAAGTTTGGCCAGGCCTGCTTTAACAGCAAATATTACCCATAGTGTTGATTTGAATACTAAATTTAGCCGTTATATGGCAGAATAAATGTTACAATATAATGTACAAAATGCTTTAATCAGAATTACAAATTCTATTCTAGGTAAGGTGCTCGAATTGTCTTCCGTGTGCAGCAATGCCCTGTTTGCATTAGCCAAGCACAGAGCTGCAAATTTCTCTTGTCATTTTAGGACACTGGGGGGGGGGGGAAGGGAAAAATCCAGAATTGTGAATTGTGTGTGTGTCGGGGGGGCCTTCTCCGTGGTGCCCCCCCCCCCCGACTCTGGAACTCTCCCCAAGGACATCAGACAAGCCCCAACGTTGGCAGTCTTTAGGAAGAGCTTGAAGACGTTCCAGTGTGCCTTCCCAAAATAGGAAACTCCAAGGATCATGTCCCAAATGCATTTTACTAGAGATTTAAGATTGTCTGCACACTGCACCTATCTCCAAAAACCTGTCCATTTCACCTGTCATGTCCAGCATTTTAAAAAAAAAGTAATCATTACATTTGGCCCGGCCTTAGTTTTAAATGCGTCATAGTGTTATTGTCTAATGTTTACTGCTAGTCTTTTAATGTTTATTTTTTTGTTTTATGAGTTTATGAGTTTATTTATTGTTGTATTTGTTATGCTGTTGTTTTATTGATGTGTTGGGCCTCGGCTTCTTGTAAGCCGCACCGAGTCCTTCGGGAGATGTTATCGGGGTATAAATAAAGGTATTATTGTGTGTGTGTGTGTTTATTATTATTATTATTATTATTATTATTATTATTATTATTGTGTGTGTGTGTGTGTGTGTGTGTGTGTGTGTGTATATATATATATTTCCACAAACTAGCTGTTCTTAGACTGTGGAACTCTTCGTAGAATATCGGACCCAATCACCATGACAAAGATTTGTAAATTAGCCTAAATGGATAAATTGGTTAAGCAACCGAACCCAAAGGATGTTCACTCACCAATGGTTCCTCTTCATCCCGGAAAGACATGACTAGTGGAGTGCCGCAGGGTTCGGTCCTGGGTCCAGTACTGTTCAACATCTTTATTAATGACTTGATGAATGATTAGAGCAATGGTTCTCAACCTGTGGGTCCCCAGATGTTTTGGCCTTCAACTCCCAGAAATCCCAACAGCTGGTAAACGGGATGGGATTTCTGGGAGTTGCAGGCCACAACACTTGGGGAACCACTGGATTAGAGGATTAGAGGCCATGCTTATCAAGTTTGCAGATTACACCAAATTAGGAGAGAGACTCTAGAGAACTGGATCAGAATTCAAAATTACTTTAACAGATTAGAGAGCTGGGCCAAAACTAACAAAATGAATTTCAGCAAGGACAAATATAAGATGCTACACGTAGGCAGAAAAAAATAAAATGCAAAGATACAAAATGTGTGATGCCTGGCTCGACAACAGTCCATGTAAGAACGATCTTGGAGTCTTTGTGGACCATAAGATGAACGTGAATCTCTTTTGGACTGTGGTGCCCAGAATTGTGGTGTGGTGCAGGTAAAAAAAGCCAATGGGATTTTGGGCTGCATTAAAGGAGGAGTATAGAGTCTAGATTGAGGGAAGACATGGTGCCTCTCTATTCTGATTTGGTTAGACCTCACCTGGAATACTATGTCCAATTCTGGGCACCACAATTCAAAAGAGGCATTGACAAGCTGGAAGGTGTTCAGAGGAGAGCAACTAAAATGATCAATGGTCTGGATACCATGCCCTATGAGGAGCGCCTTAAAAAACTGGGCATGTTTAGTTAGCAGAAGAGAAGGTTGAGAGGAGACATGATTGCCACGTATAAATATGTGAAAGGGTGTCACAAGGAAGCAGGGCAGGCTTGTTTTCTGCTGCCCTTGAAACTAGGACTTGGAGCCATGGGTTCAAATGATAGAAGATTTCACCTGAGTATTAGGAAGAACTTCCTGACTGTACAGTGGAACTCTCTGCCTCAGAGTGTGGTGGAAGCTCCTTCCTTGGAAATTTGTCAGGGATACTTTGATTGTACTTTTCTTGCATGGCAGGGGGTTGGACTAGATGGCCCATGCGGTCTCCTCCAACTCTATTATTCTATGATTATATATATATCATATATATACACATTATTCTTACATTTATTTGTATGCCACATTTTCTCTTAAGTGATTGAAAGCAGCAAACAGAGCTAAAAACAAACATCTATTTTAAAAATGATATCTATAAATATACACACACACATGCACACATAGATGTATGTATGTATGTAGCACCCTGTGTAGTGTGCATGTTGGGGAAACTGTTGGATATTTAAACCCTTCATCCACCTGAAAGCTCCACAATCTTCCATGTTCCCAGGTACTGTCCGCCAGTGAAAGTGCTTAGTCTTTTCTGCTGCCTCTACCATATGTTTTCTTACATTTATGGTTGTTTTATTTCCCCTATCCCTTGCCACTTGGAGCATGAAGTGGCACAAGGCCAAGAAAACTATACAGCTGATTCAGGCTGCCAATATAAACCAACTTCTCTTCAGAGGACTTAATTCCCAATCCCTTCATCCTGTTAACTGCTTCATGAAAGGCTTGATGTTGTTCTTCATCTGTACAGTATCTCCTTTGTACATTCAAATACAATTTTTGGGACATTTTAGGGTGAGAGACGGTTACTGTTCTGAAGCAGTTCCCTAGTCATTTTAAATACTTGCAGACTGTGTTGTCTTTTCTTCCTCTGGTCTAAGAAATAGAAGCTCCCCTTTACTTTTGCCAAATTTGTAGCATTTATTTCATTATAACCAATGCAGTTCTCTTGTATTCATCTTATTTTCTAGGAATCCAGTCAAAGCCCCAAGGCCCAAGCTGTGATGACCCCTTTGCCATGGTGGACCCGCTCTTTTTTTATGAATGTAACTTTTCTCAAGTTTCTTCTCTGGCTGGTGTTACTGGGACTGTTTGTGGAACTGGAGTTTGGATTGGCTTATTTTGTGTTATCCATGTTTTATTGGATCTATGTTGGAACCCGTGGACCCGGAGAGAGACAGAGCGGAGAAAAAAGTGCTTATTCTGTGTTTAACCCTGGCTGTGAAGCCATCGAAGGAACTCTCACAGCTGAACAGCTTGAGAGAGAACTGCAATACCGGCCCTTTTTATGGAGATAGCACATGTGAATAGACCTGACTTTTTTATTTGGACAAAAATGGAAAAAATTTCCTAAGAAAACATTTCTCATCTTTTGGAAAAAAAAAAAAAGTTCCAGCATGTTCATGACAATCTAGCTGCAATCCTCATACAAGCATTTAAAAGGTGGTGGGATTTTGACCTCTCTTAATTTGATGTTTGCAATGGTCAAATAAACAAATAAACATACTGTGATTATGCCAGCAAGTTCTATTCATATGAATGATTAAAGTGAATTTTTAATATAAAACAAGGAAAAGTGCCAAGCTTTGACCCATTGACCTACCCCAGTGCTATTTCTTTACCCAACTATTGCTCTTCATATTTTCTTTACTCCATCTCAGTATTTATTCAGTTTGCACCACCTTCAACTTGTTTGGATAATCCTTAGTTCTCCCTCCTCTCCAACTCTGGTGCTCTTTTCTTATTTTGCTCTACAGTTGTTCCTCCAAATTTTCAGGTTTTACTTTTGCAGATTCGATTATTCTCAGATTTGATTAATATGTCCCATCTAGGAATGTATAGGTCCTCCAGCTTGACTCCATGATGCATCTTCCACTAGACTCTAGAGGCATTTGTAAGTATTCCAATGTGTTGGAAATCATAGAGTCAGTTATGTTGGATGGTTTAAAAGATTCCTAGAGAAGTGTTATTTCAGGTGTGTGTGTGTGTGTGTCTATACACACACATACTTATACATACACACACACATATGAGACTAGGATGCAAAACAATGGCTTCAAACTACAGTAATGGAGATTCCACCTGAACATGAGGAAGAACTTCCTAACTATGAGGGTTGTTCAGCAGTGGAACTCTCTGCCATGGAATGTGGTGGAGTCTCCTTATTTGGAGTCTTTTAAGCAGAGGCTGGATGGCCATGTCAGGGGTGGGGGCTTTGAATGCAATTTTCCTGCTTCTTGGCAGGGGGTTGGACTGGATGGCCCACAAGGTCTTATCCAAGTCTATTATTCTTTATATATACATATATCTTCTTTTTTATTGACAATTTTCTCACTTTGGCAATTAAGTATATAACAGCAGGAGGGCTTTCTGTTCTCCTTCCCTGCATGTGTTTTGTATATGCAAAATACAGATACATGCACCAACAGTAAGCAAAGGTGATTGGATACTGGGTGACATCACTACGATTTGTATTGTTCCAGAAGCAGAAAGATCAGAAATGATTTTTTAAAGCTTGGTTGTCCATAATCCTACCTGAATCTGTCTGCAGGCACTCTGACCAAACTTCAATGATTCCTGTTCTGATGCAGACCTCTTACTCTTGTGGAGTTCTCTTCCATCTGAAGGATATTCTTACTCCTGAGGAGTCTGATATCTGTCATGAAGTGCCTGAGCAATTCAGTGTCATCTGCTGACTCAAGGTGCATCTACACTGTTTGCAGTTTGACACCACATTAACTGGCTCATCCTATGACTGTGAAGACCTTGTAAAACTCGCATGATTTCATAACACTGAGTTGGCAGTTACACCTTTAGTCTGACTCTGAACTCCTAAGATGTTGAGAAAATTTGGATATATAAACCTTATTAGAACCACTATAGCATAATTATACAGCTGCCGTTTGAAGTTTACCCAATATATTCTTTAAAAATGTATTGATCTGTTTCTAAAGCATTTCATTTAGCTGCTTGGACTGATTTGTCATATTTTATCTTATTAATCTAGACAGGGTTTTGAGGGTTTTTTTTTTTAAAAAAAAGTAATCACTGGTTGTTTCAAAAAAGAATGCAAATTTGACAAAATAGAGAATTTCATTTGAAAGGATTTTTATAAGCTTTGTAATAGCACAATAAATACATCAATGAAAACAGACACATCACTGGTCATGGCAAATCTTTACAAGGCAAATTACATTTGTTTTTCAAGAATATCAAGTTCAATACATTCAAACATAAACAGTTCATTTTATAAGTATAGAATTGTCTCTGAAAACTATGTACATGCAATATTAAAATAAAAGTTATTTTAAAAAATATAATTCAAAGCAGTAAAGATAGAAAGAAGCCATTCTCTGTCGTAATCCTCAATATACACAGATGATTTGATGTATCTGCAATTCAAGCGAGTTCTTGATGCTGTTCACAAACAATATAAAAGTAACAGAACTTGTCTACATAACTATCAAATGCAACTTTCACCTCTATATACATCGAAGTAGATCATAGTGAGTTAGCAGATTGCTGGTGCCTTGGACTGCTCAATTCATTTTTGAGCACCATATGAACAACACTGATAAAATTGCAACCTTTGAAGCAAAGACAACTTGAAAATGGGCTCATGCACAATGTTCCACTTGTCTGGTTTACTTAGAAGCGTTACAAACAGGCTGCTGATATTTTAAAGGTGTTTCCTTATTTTTGGTGCTACTTTTTACCAATTTAAAAAATGAGAAGTAGAGGAACTTGGCTGCCCCTCTGTGGTTTTTATTATCTCCCAGAATTGATCAAGCTGTCGGGAATATGTACATCCACTGTTTCAGTTTTGTGCCATTTTCATTCAGCAAATGAAAAACAGTTGGCAGAAGAGGCAAACATTCCCTGAATAGAAATGGACAATAGAAAGGAAGGGCTGCAGGAGTCCAGGAACAATTTTTCACGTGGTAGGAATGAATTGGAAAGTGTTTTTCCAGTTAAGTAGATTTGTAGGCTCTATCTGTCACCACAAGGTCCCCACAGTACCTTTTGGGTCTTTTTGGAATATTCGATTTTTTCCACACCACTGCTCCTGAAAGCTTTCCTGAACCAACTGCTGCTAGTGTGGTTTGTATAATCATCTAAGATGGATCTTGGGGAACTCAATGTGAAATTGTTATGGAGACAGAACCAAAAGTAAAAGACATAAGAGTTTAGGGAAGTTTTTTGAACTATAGTTCCAAGAATATCCCCTCCTGGATAACCATTGTCCATTCTGGCTGGGGAATTTTAAGAGCTCGAACAGTAATTCTCCCAGATTGGTTATTCTTCTCTAATAATTTAAATTCCTACCTGGTTCTGTTATAATGCTGGAGATAACAGAACCAGGGATAAGGGACAATTTCTTAAAAAGTGGAAGGAAATAAATGGGGAACCCCCCCACCCCCAGTCTTCCCCATGTGTTTTTCATGTAAAGTAACATGATTTTTATGGAAAAATATTCTTTTATTGTCTGTTTTTGTCTTGCATTTATCTGAAATGTTATAACTGAAAATACACTTATATAGTTAATAAATCCAAATACCAATAGTTAACAAGAATCACACTGATTTAACAATCCTGAGGTCGCACTTTCCTCCAATACTGTTGTCCCAGGGGAAATTTCCTTAAGCAATTTAAGTAGAATATATAGCATAGCTTTATTAACACGAAATGTCAGATCATCTCCGAGTTTAAGAGCTGTCACTGACAACACAATTCTATTTATTCTTACATGTAAATCCAAGGTATTCAGTGGTGTACTCTCCTGAACTTGGATAGAACTGCAGTTTTGGAATGCTGTCACTTTAATTAGAAACTCAATTCATAAATAGTAATTAATTTAGCTTATTAAACAGAACTATCACATGTTTAATGTACAACTTACAAGACTATATCAAGTAATGTATCAGGATGGTTCTACATATTAATGGCTTGGTGCTGCACAGTGTGGACATTTGCCACCAGGTTGGGGTGACTGTGGGAACTCCCCTAGTGCTGATCCACTGTACCCCCATTTGGGTCAGTTCTGAAGAATGCAGCTCATGTAGATGGACCCTCCAACCAAACCAGTAAGTTTACAAATATACTACTTCTGGTAGATCTTCATGAATATACATTTTCATTAATTATTTTCCACTGTGAGGACCATATTATACTATACAAAGTATAAATGGTGTTAAAGAAGGTAAATTCAATCTTTTAAAAAGTTTCAGATTTTATACATGCTAGGCCTAAACACCATAAGGGCACCATAGTCTTGGAAGCTAAACAGTGTCCGCTTTTATTGGTACTTGGATGTGAGACTGCCAAGAAATACTATGTATTGTTGGCTATATCTCTGAATATTTCTTGCCTTAAAAGCCCTATGAAATTCGTGGTGTCCCCAGAAGCCAAAAGGTGACTTGAAGGCATACACCCCCCCCCACACACACACACACCCCGATAAACCACCTGCTTCCTTTCCAGATCACGTAGTTTAGTTAGCAAGGCTACTGCAATCAAGTACATTTTGGGAGTCAAGTGTCTTTAGGAAGTTCTTACCAGGCAATAAGAATACTCTTTGTGCTAGTCTAACCTTATATCACAGCACCCACACGTCTCATAGGGCTTACAATACTGGACAAGGTTTCCATGATGTGGTTGGTATGAGGTGTGCGCAGAGTTTTCCTGACAAGCCACATTCATGGCATTGCAGTACTTAAATATGATAGAGTTCAGCAAATGCTCTACAAAGCAGAGAAAACATTGTGGATCTGCAGCACCTCCTGTCAAATTCTGGCTCCAAGTCTAATGTTTGCTTCAAACTGAATTCCAAATTTGCTGCCAGATTTTGTTGTGAAAGTGACTCTGTGGACTGTAAACATTCCAATAGTTCAACTTTTGTTTGGACAACTTTATTCTGTAACATGTTTCTAAGATCAGCACTGACAAGATCTCAATCTCTGAAACCAATTTCTTTATATGCATCCCAAGATTTTATGCATTTTTCAGAGATTAACACATCTATTTTAATACATTCCAACTGAACAGTCCACTTCATTACTATGATGACATCAAAGATTTAAAGTAACTGTATCATAAAACTGAGCTGACAAATGTCCTGAAAATACAGATGTTGAATTTGCTCAGCCAAAGCTTTTGCTTCTAGTCTCTGTGTATGTCACCTGTTTACTTATGGTGACACCAATAATTTCATAGTTTTCTTAGATGAGAAATATTCAGAGATGGTTTGCCAAGACACCTTGAAAATATACCAAGAGGAAATAAATAGATGTTAAATGTATAACTTCAAGATTCCTGTAAATAAATTATTATACATTGCAGTAGTGCTAAATTAACTTTTATATGTCTGCCTCCATACATCTTAGACAAGTAAAAAATTAAATTATTCCATGTAATGGCCAATATTGTATATAGTAGTACATGATAATTCATTGCCCATTGCAAAATACTTACTAAGATTCTAATAACTTTGGTTCATATTAGCATTTATGCAGTTTTCTAAAGTAATAAAGGGTTATAAAAAAGTTTTAAAAACCCGAAAAAGCAGAAGCCATTGTTAAATTTTTTTGATGATAACAGGAAAGCATACATACATTCATCAAGTGAAGAGCCAACTGCACACAGATTAAATTTTTAAAAGCAAGAAAAGTATTTAACACTGAAGTATTTAACATGTTTGAGAGCCTGCAAGAAAAGACAACAAATTATTCTCAAATTTACAGAATTTGTACACTTTAAATATAATCTGATTGGCATAGGAGTTTCAGAACTTCCTGGTGATAAAAATGTTCTTCTTGCGATGCTTTAGACATACTATGTGACCAACAATGGATTGACCTGGACTATGATTTGAATCTGCGTGATTTTAAACAAATGTCCTAATAATCAATGTTTTTATGAACTGTTTTAATTGTAATTATTATTTATCATTTGTCTGTTGGCATCAAATGGATGCCTGTTGTGAAGCCACCCTAAGTCCCCCCCCCCCACCTTAGGGGTGAGAAGGATGGTATACAAATATGCAAAATAATTAAATAAATAAATGTGAGATCGCATGCTGCCAAACATAATATCTTGTCCCCACGCAATAGATGTCCAAGCAGGAACAACTGTGGTGCTGCAGATAAATTGTGCCTTCACTAGGCGTATGCAGTTGTGTTTTTGATATGGAAGGCATGGGTGCCAATGCTAAAGAAAATTGCACAAATTGCACAATTTAAAGATGGGCGTAATGCTGTAGAATGGCTACAGGGTAGACTTTTTCCTATTTTTTTTCTAAACATGCTGTATGTTCTCCCGTCTCAGTGGTGTACCAGAAAACACCTTCCAAAAATTAAACAATGGGGGGAAATATGCTTATTCCAGTTCTAATGCACTGCAGTTCAAATGGAATGGTAATGAATATTTTTGGTAACAGGAAGGACCCAGGGAAAGAGGGGGCCTTCCTTGATTCCTGCAATAATAGAATCAAATGAATACACATAATTGCCTTGAAAGTTAGCTTCTGATTATGATGACTATCATGAGAGAGATTAGCCTTGCCTTTCTCAGTTGAAGTATTTTTTGTCACAGCTAATTAGCGATATTTCTGAAATTTAATCATCAGTAATAAGATACCGTATTAACCTCATGCTTTGTGACTGCATCAGCAGTGCTTAGGATACCTAGAGGCCTTTGATATTAATTGGGGGGAAAGACCTCTTTAAACTTACTTTGAAGGGAATATCCTTCTTTCAAATGCACTGATTATATTAGCAGACTGGGTTATTTAAAGTTCTTAGCCAGCGGCCTGCTGCAATGAACAATAGTGGCTCAAGTATTCAAGAGCCAATCCCAATCAGTCTGGCTGGGCATTCAATGTTACCTCCCACAGTTCAGGTCAGATGGCCTGGCTCTTTTGCATTTGCCTCTCAAAAAAAAAAAAAAAAACCTTAGCTGAATGTAGCCTGACAAGTGGCAGCATAAACCGTGCTTCCAACTGTACCTCCGCTGCTTATGCTGTTAGCTGGATACTTGAGTGGCTTCATACTGCTATCTCTTTGGTCATAAAAGTGTTCTAGTCTCCAGCGCTCCCAGCTTTTCTGAAATTCTGTCCGAACCTTTCATCAGGAAACAAAAGGTGGGAAAAAAAGAGAAGATATAATCCATATCTGAAGTACTTCTATTATGGAGCTAAAAAAAACATAGCCTGTTATAATTAACAAATATTGGCAAGGTCCTAAGGCCACTGCTATTACTGCTTTAAAGAATTTCTGTAATAACTTAATTAGTCCATCATATGGTTGTTTCATAAGAGAAATAATGGCAGCAGTTTTGTCCCATCTCTATTAATCGATGCAAGTGTGCACTACAGCAGAAAATAGCATGCCATCTGTTTTGTCTGAATCTGAACTGAATATAGTTTCATCCAGTCTGAGATTTCTTCTTAACATCTTTTAGAAGTACCTGTTGGTGACACCCAATAGTTTCGATGTGACTGCCGCAAATATATTACCTCTTAAAATACAAAAAAAAAGAGATGATTTTTCATGTGTTCTTGAAACATTTTTAGAACACTCTCACTCAACCCGGTGCAACTAGAACATTTAGATTATATATCCCACAACTCATGACTTTGATGCCTAAGGGTGCTGGGAGTTTTGGTCAAAACATGTGAGGGATACCTGGTTAGGAAAGGTTGCTGGATAGTAAGAGGAGAGAATGGTGAGAGTCTAAGGGAGTCCCTAAGGAGAACCTTGGAGGACCACACCTTCATTGCACCCTCTGCAAATCAGTTCAAGCCAGCCTGAAGTACTCAAAGTGGCATGGCGCAATTTTCCATAAAGGACATCCTGGGCCACCCATAACAAGCCTGCCCACTCAACTTCAGAGGTATGGTTAGGGTTGAAAATGCAGAAGTAGCTATAATGACTATTAAACAAAATCCAAAATGTACAGTGGGGATATCTTCATTAAGTTATATTTTGATTAAAGCTGAAATACTATAGACAAGTGAGGGTCCCTGGTGGTGCAGCCAGTTAAATCATTGAGCTGCTTAACTTGCTGGTGGTTTGAATCCGCTGGTGGTTTGAATCCGGGGAGTGGGGTAAGCTCCTGCTGTTAGGCCCAGCTTCTGACAACCTAGCAGTTTGAAAACATGCAAATGTGAGTAGATCAATAGATACCATTTCTGCGGGAAGGTAACAGCGCTCTATGCAGTCATACTGGTCATATGACCTTGGAGGTGTCTACAGACAATGCCAGCTCTTCGGCTTAGAAATTTAGATGAGCACCTCCTCCCAGAGTTGGATATGACTAGACTTAATGTCTGGGGAAACCTTTACCTATTTACTATAGACAAGTAATTGTCAGGAACCCAGTAAAATCAGTAGGATTTATAAGTTTAGAATCTGGTACTATTTAGCCAGTGCAGCATGTTGTACTGTAATCTAATAAGTACACTTGGTAAACCCAGACAGAATAAGAACCACGGCAGAAAAATATATTTTTGGGGAGAATTCAAAAAGCAAACTTTTAATTCTTATTAAGTACTATACTAATGTTCTGCCATATCTTGCTGTAGCCTCCTGCCATTTCACAAATCCATATTCTCTCTCTGGCACTTACATCAATTGGTGATTATTTTATATAAATGGATGTTGGTATTGATAAGAGGCCTGAATCAAACCTCAACGACCAAGAGCTCACTGTTATGGGATTAGGTGGAGTGAGAAAAAACTCACATTTTTCAAGCAATTGCAAAGACGGTCTAGACCAGGGGTCCTCAAACTTTTTAAACAGAGGGCCAGGTCACAGTTGCTCAAACTGTGGGAGGGCCGGATTATAATTTGGAAAAGAAAAAAATGAATTCCTATGCACACTGCACATAACTTATTTGTAGTGCAAAAACACTTAAAAGCAATACAATAATTAAAATGAAGAACAATTTTAACAAATATAAACTTATTAGTATTTCAATGGGAAGTGTGGGCCTGCTTATGGCTGATGAGATAGGATTGTCGTCGTCGTTGTTGTTGTTGTTGTTGTGTGCTTTCAAGACTTAGATTGACCCTGAGCAAGGGCCAGGTACATGACCTTGGAGGGCTGTATCCAGCCCTTGGGCCTTAGTTTGAGGACCCCTGGTCTAGACACTCTGATAAATATCTCCCATCAGAAGATATAAGGTTTTAGCATTATACCACTATACTTTTACGCCATATATTCCTGGTTTATCTGACAAATGCTATCAAAATGAATTTTTATTCTGAACTAAACCAGCTGTAAAGTGTACCACTTCTAACTCTGTTATAGAAACAATCCACAAATCACAGCAAGAACAAATTCAATGACTCTATGAATTGTACTTGTCCTTCTTGCCAAATCTCAAATCACTTGAGTGTATCAAATCTCTTCAAGCTCCTTGTTTCTCTGAAATGGCTCCAACTGAATTCAGTATGGAATCCTTCAGAATATTGATGCCAAGGGACTTGACTTTAGTTTGGTGCCCTGAACATACAATCTTTTCTCTATTTATTTCATGGATTATATGGTAAAGAATGCTTTCCACGGGGCTTGGTTCAAAGGTTTCTAACACTCTTTCTTTATTTGCATCCGTCTTTGGCCCTGCACTAATAATTCCCAGAGTCAGTCTAGAAGAGCCACTCCATAACATCCTCTGAAGTACCACATTTGATTTCATTGTACTTCCACACTGCAGAAGCTAAAAAACAAAAAGAGCAATTGGAAAGTGTAGTAAGGTACTTCTTTTCCATGTCTTCCTTCTGCCACTGGCAACGGATTGACTCGTCTATCCCATTATGAAGGAACAAAACCATGGTCATGCTATCCACCTCCACCAAATACATCCTAAACACAGCAAAACAATTTGGAGCGTTATACAAAGTAATTTACTGTTGATGGGGCATCCAAAGATTTAACCTCTAATTGGGCTGAATATTACAGCTTGGTTGGAACTGTGGTGTGGTGACTACATTGACAGAATCATACTAAATGTGTCCAACTTTACCATTATTTTTACAATACTGCAGTGAATAAGAAAACCATAGACCACATAAGAACCATGTTCTGGTTGTCTGTAGGATGGCTGGCAAAAAGAATGATCCTGAAGTTACGGAACATATCTCTAGGGGGTTGTTTCATAATAGGGGTATGAAAATGTCCTATGCGGCTAAGATGACATTTTATTATTAATTAGCTGTACCCGCCATGCGTTGCTGTGGCCAACCTTCCCTCCCTCTTTCTCTCCTTCTTTCTCCCTTTCCCTTTTTTCCTTTCATTTCATGTTTTAATTTTTCTTTGTTATTGTGGGCATTGAATTGTGACATTTGTAAACCGCCCTGAGTCGCCTTTAGGCTGAGAAAGGTGGTATATAAATATGGTTATTAATTATTAATTAATTAATAATATCAATGGGATCAGAAATGTATTGCACTAATTGCAAAGACTTTTATTATTTACAGTATTTTATGTCTAGTAGATTAGGGTTATGTTGGAATATCATGCTTGTTTTGATAACTGACTCTCACATCCCAAAATGCCAAAATAGGCTTCTCTTGTCACACAGTCTGGATGTAAATGGTTAAAAAATGAAATTATACAACTTATATATTTTGACTTCATCCATCAGTAGAAAGAGCATTATTAGAAGAAGCAGCAACAGTAGTAGTAAACAGCTACTTATTACATCAGCTAAAATTAGCTTTCTACATGAATGCAGTGGATACTTCACAAGCTAATGTTAACTCCATCTTGTAAATGGATTAATGGTGCCAATATGAATCAAGTAATTTACTCAAGTAGAATCAACACAGTGTTGCTAAGAGAACAAATCTATTGTGAGGTCCCTTTAGGATTTCTGGAATTCAACCACGTATTCTATTTCACCGCAAGCTAATTTATTAGCCTCTCAGTCTGCTGTACAGGTACTAACTGTTGATACTAACTTGTCATTCATCATCCCAAAATTGGACTTGCACTAGTCAGCCATTCAAATACTGTATGCCTTAAAACTAAGGACTATATAAAGTAGGGTACATGGTTACCCCACTTACACTGCAATGAATGCAATGCAGGAGCATCTGGAAGAGTGTAGAGAAAGTAAGGAAACAGATTTTTTTTTTCTCCTGTGGAACAACACAGTGGTTTGAGTGTTGGATGGGACCATGACACTAACTGTGTGACCTTAAACCTAACATGCCCTACTTTACAGGGTTGCTGTGAGAATAAAATACAGAGAAGAGAGCCATTCACACTTAGTGTGCAACTCCAAGTATGTTCTTTTCCCATTTTGACACTGATTCACTTACTGGCTTTTCCATTTTAGTTTCTGACCTTTTGGAGTTGGAAAAAATATGCCACAGAATAAAATGATTCACTTTTAAACTGCCAAGGGACTATGTTATAATTTCATGAACAGAGTCATTATCCCTTAAGGGGAAATCTGTGTTCATGCACGCATACAACTAATCTATATTCCCTCTATAAATTCATACATTTCAAATAGATACTTTCTTATTCCTCTCTAGCTAAGATTTCATGTATGTACACTGACAGTGCTTTGTACTCTGATAGCATTACATTAAATCACAGCTCATGTATACATCTTTGCATTCTCTATACAGGATGACCCTCGTCTCTGAGAGGGACACACCCCCACTCACTCCCTATGTATATCTGCAACTGTAGATAATAGCAAGTTTTCTTTCTTTCTTTCTTTCTTTCTTTTTTAAAGAATACTTGGACTCGAGGTATGCCATAGGGTTTCACTTGCATGCCTAGACAAGCCCACAAACACTTCAAAGGGGGGATATTTTTGGCACATGGGCAGATATCAAATCCATGGATTGGGGGGAGGGGGTATCGCATTATGGAGTATTTTTGTTGAGATTTCAAATATTATTATATTATTATATATATTAGTGTACAAGTGATGCTTTAATAATTTGTTCTTAACAACAACAACAACAACAACAACAACAACAACAACAACAACAACTTAAATTCTTATATCCCACCACCATATCCCCGAAACGACCCAGGGAGGCTTATATATTGCACAAAGTGTCTAAAAACAAACATAACAATAAAGCACAATTAAAAAATACAATGAGATAATACACATATGCATATAAAAACATCAACTCAATTAAACTAAGGACATCAACCAGTGGTGGTAAGCTGCTGTAAACATGGCCAACCTGTAAACAAAAGGAATGGAATAAGTGCAAACTTATCAACCAGTTTACTGAAAACCTTTATAAACTTTTTTCTGTGTTGTTTATTTATTCATTTTATTGCTATGCCGCCTTTCTCCTGATACAGGGATTCAAGGCAGCTAACAACAAACAATTGTTATAGAAGCTGATGTTGCAACTTGCAACCATTTCCCCCATGTTTCTTACCTCACTGTTGTTAAAACAGTAGAGTATGGCAACCAGAAGACCCTGGGAGAGAAAAAAAAGAAAGAAATGCAATAGTAAAGATGAAAGTCTGAAGATCAACATGCCTAACGGCATTAAATATCATGAGCCAAAAACTAGCTGCATTTAATCCTGCTTCTTACTGCAATTTCAGAAAGGAACAACAGTAGTGAAAGACTTAATTTCAGCCTGCTGAAAAATGCCTTGCTGGCTCAAGACTAGATTGCAATTAAATTCGCTTTATTGGCAATTTTTGTTATCTGCCTCTTTACATAAAAATGATAAAAGCAACAAAATGTACAATAAAAACAAAAACTGTAGCCTCACAAAAACAGCAGCAGTGGCATTCTCTATGCAAATTGATTAAGATCCCTGGCAAGGGATTTTCCAAATGCAATTCAGATTGCGTGCTGATCTGTCCCAGAGCAAACATATCAGCAAACTCTGTGTTGGTACTTCAACGAGCATGGGGTAAAAATACTGTATGCCTTAACAAACTAGCATCAAACTACAGGTTCACTTACTGCTCATTTACTATTATGGTTGTGAGGGGAAGGGAAGTACATTAATTCCTTTCATGACAACACTTCATTGTTACTACATCACAGTAAGTACAGTAATGTTGAAAGAAATATGCTTGTATGTTCAGAGGAAGCTCCACACTCTTTCTGTACTATGGATATCATAACTTTTATACTGGGCAAAAACATAAAGACCTTTATCCCTGCCTTCCAGCCCTTAAATCTTCCTTTATTGTTTGCAGTTAACGAAGACTGACACAAATATAACCCAACACATCAAATTTTATTAAAGACTTCTTTTGGGGGAGTCAGAAGGCTTCCAGAGGTCTTAGAAATTAGCATCTTTCCTTGAGTACCCAGAAACATGTAGTAACCCTTGCTCACACCAACATGAATATGTTTAAAGATGTAGCAAAAAGAGGTGCCCTATAATCCTTGCACAAAGTCTTTGTGCTGGATGTTGAAGAGCAGCCAGAGTCTCATTAGGCCCCATCTACACTGCCAAATAATGCAGTTTGAAACTACATTATATCAGTGTCAATTTAAACATTGTGGAGATCTGGCTGGGAGTTGTCTCCCTTTACTTTGGAGTGCAGGAATGAAATAGCTATTGCGTTGTTGAAGGTAAATGGGTCAGATGTGCAAGTCAGACTTCCAATAAGCTGCTGAGATCAACACAGAATTGCACCCCTCTGGCTTCTCTTCTAAACCCATAGAGAAGAAGATGCTGCTGCTGCATGAAATATTGGTATAGTTTTTGCTGGATAAGATTGATGTTCTGCCAGTAACCATATTTGATTTTTGATAATTATATGTATCCAAGTACTGGGGTAGGGGGAAGCACCGTTTTCATCACTTCTTTGAGCATACTGCAGAATGCATAGCTCAAGGGTCACTGTCTGGCTTCCAGATCCTCTTGGGTACAAGTTGCGTTTTTGTGTCCTTTATATAGATATCATAAGAGTTTCCATTTACACCACACATCTCCAGCATATAAAGTGTACTTCAAATGCAGGAGGCATCTACAATATGATAACTTAATTTATGGGATCCTTAGGATACACTGCATATAGTAGCCATGTTATATCAGTTTGCAATTTTTTTGAAAAGGAATATAGAATCTTGTCCCAAAGTTTGTCTCTTGTTGCACACATAATTTAATACTCCTGGCTCTATGTAGGTCATGGAATTCTGGCTAGAAAGCTGTACTAGCGGTGGAAAGGGTTTCCCGAATGTGAATAATGTGGGAAGAATAATGTAGTGAGCTGAAATGTGCTATTTTCAGCATTTATTTAATTAATTAATATCTTGTATTTTGCCTCATACAATATCCAAGGGGGCTTACAAACATGTGTAAAACAGCAGCAGCAGCAGCAATGACACCATAACCAGAAATATGGGGGAATTGGAGGTGGGGGAAGAAAAGGGTTGAGGTATTTATAATAAAAATTTTGCTGAAACATGATTTTTGAGTAGTACCTGGAAGGAAGAGAAGGAAAGTTCAAAAAAGAGTTTCACAAAACGCAGTGTCCCTTTGGCATGTTCATCAGTAACAAAAGCAAAGACAATCTCATGTGTCCCCAGCAGTGGAATCAGAGTCAGGGTAGATTTGGCCAATCTAGAAATCCAAGAACAGAAAATCCTAGGGCAAAAGGCAATTATCAAATCTTACCAATCAGATCATAGCATTAAGTTAGAAAGATCTTTATGAATTGAGCCAAGCTCATTTTTTTTGTTAATTTAACTTTCTCATACCTCAAAAATGAGACAGATAGAAAGAGGAGGGATTAGTATCTATAGTTTCATTTATGGAATGTTTTCAATGTCGTCCCCATACACACACCGAAAAATACTTTACAGGCAAGTGCCATGAGAGGTAGGGGCAAGAGTCACATTATGACAGTACTTAGGCTATCCACTTTTATGTAAAAAAGCTTCTTTGACCTGTTTGTGTCATCTTCATAGACGTAAGTTACCCTCCCATTGAAAGCAAAGCTTGGGAACTCTGGATAAGTGTGGATGCCTTCATGGGTACCACCCACAGTCAAGCAACCCAAGAAGGTATCTTTATGTTGTCCATTAGTAACAAAAATGGTTCAATAGTTAGAGTGTCCTCACTTGAAATCAGAGTTCTTAAGTTCTTTGTCTTCTTAACCTGAAATGAAGCCAACATACCCTTTCTGTCACTCCATCTAGTTTTAAAGCTATTTATTTTGCAACTTACAGAACCCTCCCAAATCACTGAAGCCAGAAGTCAACTTCTATATAGTTTTCCCAAAGGCTATCCAACCCTTTGGGAAAACTACTCACTCCAAACTAATAATACCTCACCCTACACCTACTCTTGTTCTATCGTGATTATTGGGCATAGTTCACTGATCTAATCCTATAGTGACTGATACACTAATGATTTAATTTGCCTTCCTTAAAAGTTGGTATGTTCACATATATAAGATGTTCAAGTATGTATGAGGTAGGGAAATACTCAAGGCCTGTGTATATGTGTATTCTGTGCCTTCAAGTTGTTTCTGATTTATGGTGACTGTAACAACCCTGTCATTTTTTTCAGAGCGTGTTTGCCATTGTCTTCCTCTGAGGGTGAGAAACCAATGGGTTTCAATGGTTGAGTGAGGATTTGAACCCTGGTCTCTACCTCACAGAATTAATGCAGTTTGACACCACCTTAACTGCCATGACTCAATGCTATGGGATCATGGGAGTTGTAGTTTTACAAAGTCTTTAGCCTTCTCTATCTATACAGCCAGAGTCTCACCAAATTACAATTTTCATGATTCCACAGCATTGAGCCATGGCAATTAAAGCAGTGTCAAACTGCATTAAGACTACAGTGTATATACTCTTTTACTCTAACACACTAGTGCACCACAAGTTACAAAAACCAAAAACACATCACTAGATGTTAGGAAAGGATTTCTCACTGGGTTAAAATGTGTAATGCTCTGGTGTATAAATGAGCAAAAAAATGTAGTTTTACCAATGAAAACTCACCAAGTTTCTACTTTGTTTCTACTTTCTGCTTAGTGTTAAGATAAGTTATAAATAAGATAGGTTCTGTAGGTTTGCTCTGAAGCTGAATTTGTATATAAGTCAGAACAGGAGACTGGGGCCCCCTTCAATCTGGAAACCAATATCCTCACTGTGGAAAAACATGTGGGTCAAGAATAGGTCTCCACAGTCACTTATGGACCCACCGCCAAGACCCTACACCTGGAAGGCCATCCTACTCGGACAAGACTGATCATATATATATATATAGAGAGAGAGAGAGAGAGAGAGAGAGAGAGAGAGAAAGAGAGAGAGAGAGAGTAGGCCATCGCTTATCCAACCTTTGCTCATCCAACCTTCTGTATTATCCAACACAGTCTATCTCCCGCCTGGATCCACAGCTGTTACAATGCATTGCAATGTTTTGATACTAAATTCGTAAATACAGTAATTATTACATAATGTATTGGACTGCTTTTTCTGTTGATTTGGCGTAAAATATGATGTTTTGGTGCTAAAATTATAAAATCATAATGCAATTTGATGTTTAATAGGCTTTTCCTTAATTCCTCCTCATTATCCAACATTTTCGCTTATCCAATGTTCTGCTGGCCCGTTTATGTTGAATAAGAGAGACTCTACTGTGTGTGTGTGTATACACACTTTGGATAGCATAAGGAATGGTTAACATCCATGTGGTGTTTGCTTTGCTGTCTGTGCCTCTCTTCAAAAAATTTCACCTCACTTTCTGTTCCTGTAAAATTTGGATGTTGGAAAATTTGGTTTGTTGTGGAAATAAGAATTGTTGGTAAAGCCTCAGAGGAGACCCCTTTCCCTCATGATAACTTTTTCAGTAGTGATTTTCCCTTCCTAGGGGTAGATTTCTTTCACTTCCTGTTGTCTCACCCCTGTTCTTAACTGTGAGTTTGTAACTTAGGGACTGCCTGTATTTAACTTGGCTGAGAAAGTTTAGCTCAGAACACCCACAGATTTATTTATAAACAGGTTAGAAACAAACAGCAGTAAAATATTATAAAAATTATATCAATGACATGAGATTTTAAAATAGTAAACAGAAGTTCTATAGTAAAAACACACTGGAAACAAACTGTCTGTATGCTCATTGCATGCAGAAAGAGGGCTTGCAAATGCTCTTTTGGGAAGCTATTCTGTTCTTTTGAATTCTTTATTGAAAAAGTTATCAGTCAGCCCTGAAAGTTGCATTTCTGCTAGGAAACGATAAGTAGAGAGGGCTTGAGAAATCGAGTGTGTATCTCAAGCAGATTCATAATGTAGGGTGGATTCTCGGATGTGCTGGTCTCAGCCATTTGGGGCTTTGAAGAACAAAACTAGTATTTTAATTAAGTCTGGAGACAAACCAAAAGCTAATTAAGTTGGCACTGTATTGGGCTTAATTTTAGCCATTCTCTCAAAACACAGATACGAGTTTTGCTGCCACATTCTGAAACCATGCAAGTGTCCACATTGCCTAAAAGCAGCCTCATGCGGAGTTTATTACTATAATCCACAATCCTACACTGACATCCTGAGAAAATAGCAGAAAAAACAGATGTTGATAGAGAACCTGCCTCCCCGCTAAACTTATCTTATAAGTGAACAATATTATTTCTAGAACAAAAATGCAATTTGTTTACAGAAGAACAGAATTTACAACTCTTAAAAGTACCCATACAGAGAGAAAAGGCCCATATTTTATTAAATATACACAAAGCAGAAGACATCTGTGAATATATTATATCCTTGTATGCTGTAATGAGCTAATGCTGATGCTAGTTTTTCCAAAGACATATTTTACAGAGAACTGAAGGTGCATATATGTAAGTGGGAGCTTCTAGGCATTGATTTTTACTACTTAGTTTACTGAACTTTCTGGCTACCTTATTGCATGTTTTACTGTTGTTTCCTCTCTATTGGTTTCAACTTGTAAACCATCCTGTTTTTAAATAAATAATTATTGTTCCTCTATAAAATGCAGGAACATCATGGCTTGTATGGATTCGCATTCTACCAAGAAAATGCTTATTTAAATATATAAGTTTTATAATCTTATGACACTCAAAATGAGAAAAGCAGAGTGTGGATTTGAAAACATGTAATGCTTCCATTATAATAAAACAAACAACGTATTTCTTGGAGGAGATAGGATATATATGTCTGCAGAAGCTCCACGAAAAGTGTCTCTCTATTATTATTATTATTATTATTCCATGAGAATTGTTGTGCAACCTTGGAATTTTGATGCTAGATTAAAAACAACTAAAGCCTGCCTTTAAAATAAAGATGTTTACTGTACACCTACATTCACTATTGCATGTTAGCTGTGATTGAAGTGTTCTTCACCAAACTTAATTTAGTTCCCATTTAATAATTTCTTACTAGCTATAATCTAGAATTATCTCCATTAAATGCCAAGGAAAATCAGATGTTTGAAGACAAATTGGCTCACCTGCATTTTATGTCAGTTTTACGCAGAAGGTTGGCTTGCAGCTTCGAAATTATAATGCATATAACTCTAATAAAGATCAAAAAATTAACCTGGATAGAACAGACAGCAAAAGATCATGAAATACACTGGGAATACAAATTGCATGTTTCTGTCAGTAAATCTGCATTCATTTTACAGTTTTCTCAACTATAATTAGTTTAGTCATAACTTCTTAATGATTTTCTTTGAAGTAACCCCCCATCCCCCAATTAGAATTTGCGAACTATTGGGCAAATGTTACTCTTCCCTACAAGTGAAATAGTCTCTGCATTATGTATAACCTCCATCACTTCCAAGTATGAATACAAAACCTATAGATGGCTTTTTTGTAGGCCGGAGTCTTTATTTCCAGAATTTCTTTACATCTCTGGCACTAAATTCCCTACTTGGATTCCTTATCACTTACCCCAATAGCAACAAGAATGGGCAACCTGATGATCAGCCAGTAGTTCATGTTTAGGTTCTTATTCCAGCAACTGGAAAAGTAAAACATGAGAATCAGGAATGTCTTGGTAGTTCCTCCTCATGACACATCTCAGTGGTGTAAATGGAAAATAATTGGCAGCATTAGCAAGATACACTGCACAGATGGATGGTAACTGCTTGGATCTTAGAAGCACAAAAAGCTTTAGCCCAGGATGCCAGGATGCGATGTTGTTGCTACAGTGAGTTTTCTTAAAATCTCCCTTTTCTTTTTGGTTATGCTTAATTTATCCACCACAATTTGTTAAAAGCAAATCATTACGGAGATTTGTTTCATTGGAAGTCATAAAACAAGTCACAAGATAAGTAGAGTATTTGTTAGTCATATCTCCCTCTGTGTAACTGAAGTACTGAACCTGATGCCAGCAATAGTTTGTCCCCAAATTGCCTAGTAGAATGGAGGGGCTCCTTAGGTTTTTGTAAAAATGGTGTTAGATAAATTAGACAGCCTACATGAAAACATTCAGCCTTATTTAAAGGACAGCAATATATCATTATCATGATTCATAAGACACCTGGACAGTGAGCCTATACATTGCAGAAACCTGTGTCAAACTGCACACATCCCATCCACTCCCCGATTTACTCGGTATTATAAAGATTGGCAATTTCAGCACATGCAGTTCTTCCACAATTTTACCAGAATCTGCTTTCATGGAACTGAACTTTGGTACATGCTTCTGGGCTTTTTTCAGTGTGTGTCTAAAAGGAGGGCACATAGGGACAATAGCTAAATCTGTGCTTCCAAAAGAGCAGTTCTCACTGTTTTTAATTACTGTAAAACCAGTATTTTTTATTCATTATCATGTCACCAAATTTTTCTGATGGAAGAGTAGTAAAGGAACAAAAATGGGCAAGGAAGCCTACACATGTCCAGTGGATTGTATGTTACACCCTCCTGTCTTATGAAGTCATTGGGTTCAAATCACCCAGTGATATGTTGTCCTGCACTTTTCCCAAGTGAAACACTTGAGCTCTTGTACATTTCTGTGAAGATTAGAAAATCCTGTAAAAGAATCATCCTAGAATCTGGAATCATCCCAGAATCAGATCCTGGGATAGATCTAGCCTAATAAAACAAGTGTCCTAGGATGCTTCAAGACTTCTTTGGGGCTGGAGCCCCACGCCAGCCATCACACAACATTGTGTGATTTCCAACAAAAGCCCCACCCCCAACCAGGATTGAAACGTCCTTAGAACCCAAACATGGGAGACTTCCCGTGCCTCCTGTTTTGCCACACTTGCTGGTGAAATGGTACCAGGGTTTCCTCCATGCGATTAGGTCATCAGAGAATGTTGATTGAATGGAGAGATACCAGGACCCATTTTTAATGCTAGAAAAAATGATAAGACTGAAATCCACTTTGCTAGTTCTAGCTAGAACAGATCCACTAAGGGTACACCTACATCTGTAGAATGGATGCAGTCTGACTCCATTTTAACTACCATGGCTCAATGTTACGGAAGCTACAGTTTGGTGAGGAAGCAGTATTCTTTAGCAGACAAGGATAAAGAACTTGTAAAACTACAAGTCCATGATTTTCCATAGCATTACACCATGGCAGCTAGTGTGGTGTTAAACTGCCTTAATTCTACAGTGCAAATGAACTGTAAATCAGCTGTTGATTGGTAAGTCAATACTTACTAAATCCTGTTGATGGAATGGATAAGCTAGGTGGGACTAGCAAATACAGGCATGGCCAAACTTCGGCCCTCAGGTTGTAATGAACTTCAACTCCCAGAAATCCCAGCTAGCTTACCAACTGTAAGGAATTGTGAGAGTTGAAGTTCAAAACACCTGAAGAGCTAAAGTTTGTCCATATCTGAGTAATGTCATTTTAGAAAGGTATGGACTGGGCACTATTCTCATATGTATGAATAATGTATACATTCTAGCAACTGCACAAACGAAAGGTGGGTATGTGATATTGTTGTCTGACTATGCATTATAATGTTACCACCACTGCTGCATGTGAAATCACAAGCTAAAAAGTAGACAGTGAAAAAAGTTGGAATGATATTTTTACTTCCAGAATGTTTTCTTTATAAAGGACTTATGTTTTTGTCAATGAAATGTTTGTGGAAACTACATCATTCTATTTATATAGAGTTCTTGTTCAATATATGCACATGCTTGGAAAAAGGCTTGTTTTTCTAAACAGAGATGTTCCTTAAATCACTATGTTAGAACATTTTTTTAAAATAATGATAGAAGATGAACAGTGGCATTTTACATTAATTTTGCTATAGCTGTTACTGCATGAATTGGTTTCTCATAGAACACTACAGCTTTAATTGCATTTAAAATGTACACATATGCAATCAAAACATCATTACAGTAAAATTAAAATGTCAAGAGAAACGAAAAGTGCTAGAAAAAATGTAATGGATCTGTACACAATAGAATCAGAATACTGTATACTTTTCAAGCCTCTGTTATTAAATTTGCAAACTTCGGGAGACCATTAACATTCATTAAATATGCCTCAACAGGATCCAAATATATGTTTAAGACTTAGAGATAGTGGGGCATGTCTATTGCTCCACAGAGAACTACTTAGCATTTCTCAAGACCACCAGATCAGATTTACAGCCCACAGTGGGAAGGAATGATATGTTCAAGGGTACAAATTTCGTCTTTCCACAGAGAGCTACATTCTCACTTCAATGAGAAGCCCTCGTCTGGGCTGTATCATATTTAAAGCAGTAGGGAGATGGGGTCTTTGGCTAACTTTTTCTGGATTTCTAGTTTGCGATTAATGCCTGGAATGTTTGTGTGATGGAGCACTCAGCCAATGGAAATACATTGGAAATACAAACACATTGCAGTGAATAATACAGTTCAGACATATACACATCATCTTAGTGAGAATAAAACCCAAATGGCTTGGACTTTCATCAAAGATTTAGGTATATTGGTGTACCTGCCTAGTGGTGCATCTCAAAACAAAAGGATGAGCAAAGAAACATTTTAGGATGAAAGGTGTTTTCATAACATCCAGCCACCAACATCAGTAATCTTCTGTAGACAAGTGTAAAAATCAGAGGCTGAACCCCAGCAGTAAAACCAAACAGTGTTCTCTCACTACTTTGCGATTCGCTTTTCGCGAATTCGCTGTTTTGCAGGTTTTTGCCTCCCAGTTTATTAATGGTTGTCATTGCTCAGAGCGACGTTCTAATCTCACCTCCTGGCAACAATGGAGTGTGGAAGAGGATTTCACCTCGCCCCTTGGGATAGAGACAGCCAATCAAGAAAGATTGCAAAGCAAAGCAGAAATAGCTAGTTAAAAAAGATGTGCAGTGCCTTTAAATTTCTCCTCGCTTTTGCCTCACCCTTGGAACTTGATATACATATATAGCATCCCTACTTTGCGGATTTTCACTGTGGGTGGTCCTGGAACATAACGCCCGCGATACGTGAGGGAACACTGTACTTGTGAAGAAATATTTGTGGCAAACTACAGAGCATCCTCTGCCTCCTTTTTGAGTACCGATCCCTCCTCAGAAAAGCACCCATATTACTGAGCCAGATGCCTCCTTACAACAAAGCTTTTAACACAGGTGGCATCCCTCATCCAGAATTCTGAACTACAAATTAAAATTATCCATAAGGGTTGCTCACATACTGACACCTTTACTTCATACACAACATGTAAAATATTGTGTCTAAAGTTACCTTAAGTCTATCAGTATAAGAAACATAATTTCAACTCAACAAATTCAAGAAGGATAATGACAAGCTAGTGAAGGGTGACCAAAATGGTAACAGTTCTGGAAACCAAGCTCTATGAGGAGCAGCTTAGAGAGCAGGGTTTGTTTAGCTTGGAGAAGAGGATATTAAGATGAGATATGATAGGCATGTTAAAATATTTGAAAGGATGTCATATTCAGAAGGGGCAAGCTTGTTTTTTACTGCTTGAGAGACTAGGACATGGAGCAATAGAGTCAAATTGTAGACAAAGAGATTCCACCAAAGCATTGCGAAACAGTTCCTATGGGCAAGAGTTGTTCAACTGTGGAAAATACTGCCTTGGAGAGCATGGAGTTTTTTTCCCTCTGGTTTTTTTTTTTTAAAAAAAATGAGGCTGGATGGCCATCTGTCAAGAGTGCATTGATAGGGTGTTCCTGCATGGCAGCAAGTTGGACTGGATCAACCTGGTAGTTTCTTTCAATTCTATAGTTCTATAAAGACACTCCATGTTTAGACTTTGGGCTCATCTCTCATTATGTAGAGCTCCCATTTTTTATATCCAAAATCTTAAAATAAAAAATAAAAATACCAGAACACTTCTCGTCCTAAGCATTTTGAATAAGGGATAATCAACGAGTATCTTCATAAATAGAATGCAACAGTGAATAAGTGCACGGACTGGGTGTATAAATTGCTAAAGTGGAATAGGATGAATCACTATGTTGTAGCAGCATGACAGAAAGCTTTAACAATACAAAAACCTAAAGCCTGCTGTTTTCTTGTATGGAGAGTCTAGAGATAGGAGGATTTTGTTTTCTGTTTTATATTCTGCAATTCGGTATACTCTGATTGAACAAGCAAAGTCTGTCCAGGGAGCCTCAGCTAAAACAAGAAGTGCACCCTGTCCAATATCCTAGTTTTATTAAAAGATAATTCCTTGAATAGAGGATAAAAGAGGATCCCATTTCTGACAAGGTTTTCTCTACTTATTGTTAGAAATTATTGAATTTCAGTTGCATATATCCCCAGGACTGTCAGTGGTTTTTGAACCAGAGTGACCTGAACATCATTTATTTCTCAATATCCTTGGTAAGTAAGGGGTTATTCTGCTGCACATCTGCTTTTGTATCACAGAGACAAAGGGTATTAACATGGATAGGTTATTCAATAACTATTACTGAAACTGAGTGGGACAGAGATCTTTCGCTTTACAGCGAATGAATGGCACAGTTTACTTATTGTACCATTTTACAAATATTTATACAAGGTTTAGATAACCCAAATTACTTCTTTGAAACTGCTGAATGTAGCTTTTGTTTAATAGGAGTTATACATCAAAGATTTGAGCAACACAAAAGGTAAGGAATGGCATTCCAAGTACAACTTTGCTGTACATTGTTTCCACACAACATTGTTCTTGTTGTTTTATTGTGTGTGATGAAATCATGAGTTATCATGGGAAAAAGTGTCTCCACTGAAGGTTTATCACCAATCCTTGTTTCTACAACAACCCAAATTTTTCAAAATCCAATTATCACAGGGACAGAAAGTGAAGTGAAATCTTCTGAACAGGGGCACAGGCAGCAAAACAAACATTAAATGGGTGTTAACCCTTCCCTATCCAAAACTAAAGAAAATGGTTTGAGTTTCATTTAAAAATATACCCATTCCAAATTACATACAAATTCAACGAATCTTATGAAACTACCTTGTATGTGACTTGGGAACTGCCATAGTGGCATACACTTACTGTCTCTGGAGCAGTGGTTCTCAACCTTTCTAACACCGTGACCCCTAAATATGGTTCCTCATGTTGTGGTGACCCCCAACCATAAAATTATTTTTGTTGCTCCTTGATAACTGTAATTTTGCTACTGTTACGAATTGTAATGTAAGTGTGTTTATACTGTTACAAATTCAGCATAATTAAAGCATCATGATTAACAAGAAAAAATATGTTTGGGGGAGTATGGAAAACAGATGATGGGATTTGCAGTACCTTCAACCTATTCAGCTCTGACTTCCATACACCACTGAGACCTCCACACAGAACTCCCGTGTCAAACAAAAAATACTGGAGGGGGTTGGGAGGAATCGACAGTGATTTAAGGGAGATGTAGTTTACCTACATCTGGAGAGCATTGTGAACCCAAACAACTATGGATCTGAATTAAACGTGGCATGAATATTCAATATGCCCAAATTTGAACATTGGCAGAGTTTGGGGAAAATAGACCCTGACATTTGGGAGTTGTAGTTGCTTGGCTGAATAGTTTGCATGCCATTAAAGAGCATTCTGAACTCCAACAATCATGGAATTGGGGGCGGGGCCTAAGGAGGAGGCCTTGCAACCCCTCCGAAATGGCCAAGCGACCCCCAGGTTGAGAACTGCTGCTCTAGAGACTTGTTTCACTCTTCAACAATGTAACCTGTTTACATCTGTAAACACTAGAGTACCCATTGGAAACAAATTCAGGTTTAACTCCTATACACATTTCTTGATGAATTGCATTGCTGAATAAATACACAGAAAATCAAACTCTTATGGCAGTAATGGAATATAATATGCTATCTATATTTTACTACTATACATATTCGGGGTGGAGGGTGGAGGGAGAATTTTATGATTTTATAGCATTATGTAATATTCTATTTTTTCTATCTGTATATACATGCGTGTACAAGTGTGTTATTGTGTTTCCTCAAACCATTCTGGAAAAGCTGTTGAAGGGCTGTAGTTTTTAAATAATCAAAGTACCCAACAGCCCAAACTAGTTATAAATCAACAACTGTGCAGATATTTGTATTTACTTGCTTATTTAGGCAAGTACCTTAGGAAGATGCTCACTAGGTTTGAAGCCTAGATAGGATTGACTCTATCAAGTAGTACATCCATAGGTCCAGTATGTTCCTTGCTCTCAAACATTTTTCATGCAGCCAATTTAGTGCAAATCTGTCTCCAACTTTGAAAGGGGCACTGTGAGTCACTACAATTTGTCTTTTTTTTTTTTGCAAAATTAATTATTGTACCACACAAACTTGTTAAGATGGTAAATTCACCTGACATCCTGTTCAGTGAATTATAGGTACAAGACATAGGGTGTGGAGACACTGACCTGATCCCCGATGAATGGTGCCCAGAGTATAAAATTATAACTGTTATCAGGCTGCTGAGTCCCAACCCCCTGCTGCCATATGTGTGAGAGCTTTTGCAAACTCAGCATTGCACTTTTCTGTGCAGTGATAATGTGCAATGAGTCAGTATGACAGATGGGAAAAGATATGCATATTAACAGACCACATCTAAATCTCTACAGTGACTGCACTGCTCTTGTACCTGACCAGAAACTGAATTTTTTACTAGCACAGAAGAAATAGGCTCTATATAGGAGTAATAGCCTTTCAGCAATGAAGTAACCATTAAAGAATGATTGTGGAAAGAAATGACAGGACGATTAGCTTGCCATATATTAGGTGCTCTGTTCCAAGTCTGGGGTGTTTCCTTGGATCAGAACAGCATTTTTCTATAAAGGGTATCACTAGGGAGTATTTTCACAGAGATGCATAACCCCTATAAAATAAAATAAAAACCCACATTTTTAAAACTTGAGGGAACACTTCTTTTGGAATCTCCAGGAATTATACAAGAATTACACTGGAGGAGCTAGAGATTCCTAGAGAACATCCAGTGGAAGTTGACCACAGAGTCATCCTGGAGGAGCTAGAACAGTGCTTCTCAACCTGTGGGTCCCCAGATGTTTTGGCCTTCAACTCCCAGAAATCCAAACAGTTGGTAAACTGACTGGGATTTCTGGTAGTGTAGGCCAAAACACCTGGGCACCCACAGATTGAGAACCACTGACCTAGAGATTCTTAGACAGAGATTAACCACAACTGCAAATGATCAAATTAACAAAAGTAAAACCCACAAATGTAGAGGTCCAATTGTATTTGGTAAACCATTTTGCAGCACAATCTTCCTGTTCTATGATTAAGAAAAATGTGTACGAGAGAACTGTGATTAGCTCAGCAGCAAGTCAGGGCACAATATTAAGAATAGAAATGGAAATAATGATGAAAGGACATATGTAGCATCAAGTACAAATCAATACCCAACCATCATAAATATTCTAAGAAAGAGAACCGAGTGTAAGTGACATCAGGATGGTTTTACATTAACCAATGCCAACATTTCAACAGTAAGCTGCGTGGATTTATTCTGACATTCAGCTATATTTTTGCACCTTAATAAATTGGGGGGGGGGGGGTCATGGTGAGAGATATAAAATTTAAACATTTCTGAGATGGGCAGGGTTCAAACCATACAACTGTCACTTATGTTTGATGATAGAACTCTCTTGGAACAAATCAGTGCAACAAGATTAAAATATATGACTGAATATGTTGAAAGACTATCACCCTATTTGGGTCAGTCCAAATTTTGAACAAAGCCATCTCTCAGTCTTAGAGGAAAGAAATGAAAAACCTCTTCTGAATCAACCTTGCCAAGAAAAGGTTGCTATACATCAGAGTTAACTTGAAGGCATACAACAAGAAGAATGCAGTCTTTACTCCCAGCATACAAATACAACCACACGTACCATGGCAACAGAGCCTATGGCCCTCCTCATGACCATAACATCTGAAGAAGGTTTGTTGGAAGCACTGATTTCTACTGCAGTTATTATTCTAGCAAGCACTGCCGATTGGTTAATATCACAAAGATAATAAGGTCAAGCTGCCCTGCTGAAAGCCTATGGTATGTTAAGGATGTTTAATAAATAGATTTGTTAAAGCATATATAAGTGTGCTTGGAGTACTACATGTTGAAAATGTGAAAAACAAGTCTATTCTTCAATCAAATTCATTTCATAAAAAGAGGGCAAAAAGTGTGTGGTAATGTATCTCATTTCCCTTGCACATCAGGGTGTGCTCTAGCAAGTGGTGACCCACAAAGCTGTGTGTTCCATAAACAAGGGTGATGAACTCAATTTCAAAGAAATGGGTAATCACACTCCAACTGAAAACAGGATATGTTGTCTAGATAAATATCTAAGATATATTTGGAGGCTCTTGTAAACTTCTGGAAGCATCAGATATCAGTGGTATTATGAGTGAACTAAGAGTTTTGCAAGATGAGCCCAAAGTATTATCTAGTCTAGTTTCTCATAATGATCAGTTACTAGTGTAGATACAGTTAATGAACTGGATGTAAGCCAAAAGAATGAGAATTAGTCCAGACAAGACAAGAGTTACTGAAGATCAGTAGATAGATTGATCCCAGCATTACCACAAGTAAGGAAAGAGTGCAAAGGGCCTCTCTAGCAATATCCCAGAAAACTAGTATTCAGAGGCATGGCACAGGTGTGGGAATCACACAGCTCACCAAATATTGTTGAACTGCAACTCCCAACATTCCTCACTAGTTTAAGTGCACAATCTCAGTCATTTTAACAGAGTAAACTGTCCACAAAGGCAGATAAGAAATAGATATTAGTGGCAGGAGAGGTGGAGATGTTTTAAATAGTACACTTTTTAAAAAAAAAGACATACACTTAAGCATGCAGAAAATGCCTAACCTGCAAAAGCTTGTGCTTATCTTAACAAAATGTAATGAAAGGCTTTTAAAATACAAAACATGATCCACTCTTGCCAGGCCACAGCATGAGGAAATATATAAGATGTCGATGCAACAGCCACTGCCAAAGCAATCAAACCAAAGAAAAAAATGAGTATGGCCTCTTCTCCCCAACAGATACAACCCTCGCAATAAACCAGCTAAGAATCAGAACTGAACCAACCCCTCATCTTCATATAGGTACTTGACAATTCCCCAGAAGATAACAAACAGCATTGGCACACCTGGAAAAAAAGAGGAAACAAGATATGCACAAAGAATGAGACACAAGAAAAAAGTAAACAGGAAGATAATTTTCATACAATGCCAAACTTCTCTAGTTGAAATGAGTTGGCTGATGATTTAGTGTCATTTATACTCAAAATCCAGAGCACTCCAGAATTATATTATGGTTTAGAAATTAAATTGATATGCAATCCACCATTGTCTGAATTCACACTGCACAATTGTAATCTAATTTTTCTGAGTGAATTGCATTGATTTTAATCCTCTATGTATTTCCAAGCAAGTAAAGCAAGAAAAAGTCCCAGTGACATTTGAAGTGCCTCTACCAATTGGATGAGGGTCCAGGACTGTTAGAAACTTGTACTTGAAGCATTCAGTATAGACAAAAAAATGCAAAGTCATATTTCCACAATTTCGTAGATAACTAGAGTTATCTAACAACACACAAATAAACTAATGTTAAAAAGACAGTCACACATTTCTAGCAGAGAACATAAATCTTTTTTGAATCTGAAGAAAGGATTGTATATGAACAGGGATTAAGCTTTCCAGAGTCACTAGGCAACAGATTTTATCCATAGTACAGGATGCATAACATACATTTTAAAATTACTGAAGGATGGCAAACATAAGTTGTTAACCTATTGAATAATTCTGATGTTTCTCCACATGATGCCATATGCACCTTGCTGTCAGTTCCTTGCCCTATTTACAACATGTGTTACTTAGCTGCACCAATTTTTGTGTCTCTTACACCATTGTTCTATTCTTCCTTAATTTAGAAATTGACTTAACTAAGGGCCCATCCAGACAGGACCTTTATTGTGGTATCTACTGCAATAAAGGAGGAGCTGTCCAGACAACATCCTGGACAATTCTGAATCAATTTGCTACAAACCAGGAAAGCCCTGGTTTTTGTAGTGCATTAATTAAATAGTGGGTTTATTCCATGCCTTCTATTTCCGGTGCATAGAAATGATGTGCCAGGAGAGCGGGGGAGGGGAGAGGAGGGAGGAAAATCACTCTCCCCCCCCCCCACACACACTCTCATGGTGCATCATTTCTACATGCCAGGAGAGCCAGCTGAGGCTTGTAATGTAGGCTGGGTAAGTTTTTATTACTTTTCTAAGGGGTCTGGGGCTTTGGGGGAAAGGAGTAGGGCCTCCATATGTTCTCTTGGGCTAGTCCCAAGAGAATGTCTGGACACCCATCCCAGAAAGCATGCGCTTTATGGGGTGGATGTAGACAGGCCCCCAGGAAAATCTGTGTTTTTTTAAACGCGGATTCTCCTGGGATAAAGGCCTGTCTGGATCCGGCCTAAGACTATTATTCTTTTGACATATCATAAGATGACATGACTCGTAAGAAAGTACAATAATGCTTGGTAATATGGGAAAAAGTTGGAAAAGAGGAAGATCACATTACAGGTAGCTAGACTCAGTATAGGAAGCTAGTCTCAAATTGGCAAAAACTTAGCAGGACTTATTATAACAGAGTAACATGGAAGTCTTTCATTCAAAGTTTTGTCATAAGTTGGCAATTTACAACAACAAAGCTGTGGACTTTGCTGCTATCAAAGATTTATTTTCCTTTGAATGGAAATACAGATAGACATGAATTGTTCTCCATCCCCACTGAAAACAAGCCCCCACTGTTTTCTTCTTATAGCTTCCTTTTGATTTGTTGCCACCTTTTTCTGTTGCCTTTACTTGCCTTCTTTCTTCTTTTGCTTGAACAGCAATCTGTGACAGATTTTCTGGCATCCATTTTTGGATAGTTATGCTGCATGCCTCTTCCGTGAGGAGCTGGAGCACTCCTTAAAAATGTGCTCATGCCCAATCTATTTCTAGCCTGTTTGATAGCTGCATGTTTTCAGATCATGGGAGTTCTGAAGCATGTTTACATACATTAGGAAATAATGTCTTTGCTGTGCTGAAGTCCATTTAAGATTTTTTTCAAATAATAATAATAATAATAATAATAATGAAAGACTTATTTATTTTGGTCAATGAGATGTCCAGTCAAAACACCATTAACTGTGTTGCTCTATGAAAACAATGCAATTATCTACCAAAACACTTTAGCAAGACACAGCTGTTGCTGAAGAAACATATAAGATTTCCTTCTATCATTTCCAAACACAGGTGTGTCCTTAATCCAAAGACCTGTTTAATTACTGTTTAATTACTATGAATATTATACTCTTGACTTTACAAGGAATGGAGTATCTATTAATAAGAGGATCCAAGCATAATACTTGCAAAATGAGATATGGACACTGAGAGAGAACAGGCTACATTTCTCTAAAATGAACAGATGTGCAGAGCAATAGCTGATGTGATTTATAAATTTATTTTGCCTAGATGTGTCAGAGACAACTCATACTTTATTGCATTATTCGCTATTTGAATGAAGGGGAATCAAATTATTATTAGTATAATTTTAGTAGTATAATTCCAAAAGTTCCATTCTTTATGGATAACCTTGAGTTTTCAAATACTTTGCAAGTTTGTGAACCAGAGACTTCATCAAATGGATGGGAGGGAAGTGGAGAAGTGCATTGGAAAGAGCGGGGCCTGTCTTGCCCCATTTTCTCCCAGCAAGGTCTATTTTGGGGATGGCCAGCCATCCCATGACCTTTCGGATAACATCCAACTCCTGAAAATGGAGTCTTCTCTCCATTTTAGCAAGCAGCCAAAATGTATTCCCATGTGAGTCATGGGATGGTTTCTGTGGGACTCCATTTTTCAGAAAACAGAAAAAACTTCCATGTAATGAGGTCCATGCAGGAATATACAAGTATAATATAAACACTGTTCGGGAGTGTGAATGCCCATTTCACCACTGATATTGAGCAATGATTTATTGGGCATAGAAACTGTTTACATGAAATGAGAAAAGGTGGGCATGCTCCTCACAGCTGACTGATACTCAATAGGTATATTGTCCATTGGTTGCAATATAATTCCCTCTTCTCAGGTGACTGAGCATTTTTAGCTTGGAAGGAAACATAATCATGATTTCTACATGATCAAATAATTTGATACCTAGTTTGTAAATTAAAAATTTCTCAAGTCTATTTATGATTTGATCAATTAGGTTCAGTCTATGAGAGCTCATGCTATGAAATTCTTTTCTTAATTAACTATAGTATACTTATTTTAATTTCTAGGAGAAATTAGGTACACAGCTGCTGACATCATCATATATTTTGTTGTGTAAAGCTCTCCAAGAAAAGAGATCTTTTCCATCATCTTTTTTCTTTCAGAGCCAGGGAGCATTTTCCCCTTCCTTTAAGATGTTCCCTAACTGCTCCCATGATGCCTGAATAGGCACATAATTGTCCTTTTCCAGATTATCTAATCTATTGGAACACCAGCTGTCTTTCTACAGAGTGACATGCTTTACTTGCAAATATGCAAAGACACAAGGACCATGATCTTCTTCACCATTAATAAGAATCAGTCAGTCTCCTGTATTTTTGGGATTTTCAACTTGAAGCCACATATACACATATGGCATCTTCACACCCCTCACCAGTATAGCAAATAATGAGAAATGTTGGAAGCTTTGAGGGCTACATATCTCTGATACCTGCTATATATTTTAAACAGAAATAAAGCATAATGAGGCTGGCTTCTACAGTTACATAACCAATTGTGCTACTTGTACCATGGGGTTGCATTCACCCACTGAACAATCAAGTATGTGTGAGAGAGGACTATGTGCATACTTACAAAATGATTAACCACACTTAAAAAAGCTTTAAGGAAGCACAATTACCACTAATGTAGCACACCAGTAGGATTCTGGCCTATTTATTCACACTGCTCTTTTAACCTAAAAAAGTCAAAACCTAGACCTGGAATTGTAGAATGGAAGAAGGATATTACTCCTTGTACCCAAAACAAATGGCAGCATTGCATTCCCTTGTGAATAGAATAGAATTATCTTTCACAGTATGCTTATTATAGTGTTAAAATGTGGCACGTGTTCTTAACATGAGATCAGGTACATATTATTGCTCCAAACTCTGGCTTAACCATCAAAACATAAACACCTCAGGCTGCTTAATCTTTGTAAACCTAATTATTTCCAATATATTCCCAGTGCAATCTATAGTGGCAGTTTTGATTTATAGCAAAATCAAAAAAAGTGATCACCTCTGTAATTTGATCTCAGAACTCCTTAAGGGTTTCCTGGAAATAGATTTTTCAAGTCATGTTGCCTTTCTTTAATTTTCAATTGTCATGGGATTTGGCCCACTTCCAGACTTTAGACTGACTTTTGGAAGCTAATGCACATCAAGAATATCATTATAGCCTTAAATTGATTGCTGCCTCTTTGTTATTGCCATCCAAATGCAACTTAAAGAGCGACAACAGAGTCTTACCTCATAGTTAGGAAGGACTGGCTGACACAGTGCAGTAATAACATATTCATTGAGGATCTACATTGCCATATAATCCAGCTCTGATCCCAGATAATCTGCTTTAAACTGGATTATATGATATGAGTTATATGCCAGTTCAAATTCAAAGTAGATAATCTGGATTTTATACGCGGCGTAGAAGGGGCCTCATAGAATCCAGTTCAAAGCAGATAATCTGGGATCACATACTGGATTATGTGGCAGTGCAGATCCAGCCTGAATCTGCTTAGATTTACATCAGCTATTAACAACAACTGCCATGCACCCCACTATTGAAGCAGTTCATAATCTGAATGGATAGATAGAACCTTGTGTTTGTTTTTCTAGTTTGTTTGCAAATGGTTTCTAATGTGGACCTTTCAGAGGGATATTCTTGGCAAGATTTGTTCAAAGGAGTTGGCCTTGGCATCCCTCTGAGGCTGAGAGAGTGCAAGATTTGCCTAAGGTCACCCAGTGGGTTTCCATGGCTGAGTGAGGACTTGAACCCTAGTCTCCAGAGTTCTAGTCCAATGTTCAAGTCACTACACCCTATGACCCATTTTTAAACTAGTTATATTTACAAATGAA